CCCCCCGGGGGGGGGGTGGTGGTGGCAGGAGGCAGCAGATCAATGACTCGTCATTGATGTTTCTCTCTCTCTCCCTCCCCCTTCCTCTCTCTGAAATCAATGAAAACATTTTTTAAAAAAAAAAGAAATTATACAGGATGAGTTTTAATCTTTTACATGAAACAACAGATTTTCCTCTCTACACTCTGCCTTAGATAGTACCTTTGTTCCCCTCCATCCCAACTTAGGAGGTTGTTCTACCCTTGTCTTACTAAGTCATAAAATCACTGCAAAAAGTAGAAAGTAAGCCATTGAACTTACCTCTACATTTTCATCTCCCATTTCTTGAGGGGCATCAGTGTCTGGTTCAATCACACCTTCATTATCGATTTCTGCCAAAGAAAAAAATGACGCACGAGGCTATTAAAAACTAATGAACTATGGTTAGTACAGCTAATTAACTGAGTATTTTTACTGTATGTTATTTTTACTTAAAATAATGCACTGGAAAATATTTCTCCGTTAAACACAACTTTAGTGTTTTGGTAAGACTACATTCCATTTTAACTGTTGCATTATGTAAGGTATTTATCACTGTATTATAGTGGGAATATTGGCAAATGCATGTTTTCTAGTATTATACACTGACACACCACTGATTTTAGTCAGTTTCAACAAACTGATTCAGTTCCAATGTCTTGCTCTATACATCAATGTATTGTAATGTTTTAAAAAATATTTTATACAGATAGCACAAGTTACAGTGATACTTTGATGTGAATCATAATGAAACAGTTAATATTAATATAATCATTTTTGTTTTTAAAAAGTTTGGATAAATTTTCATTTTAAAATAATGATGCAGAATCAAGCTCCAAAGCCAGCACACTCTAACCAAAATAGTGAAGGCTAGAAAGAGGTATGTTGTAAATTTCATAATGGACAACCACAATTTGCTACAGAAAATCTAGCAAAATAACTGGTTTTTTTATATGTGTGTGTGTGTACATACATATATATAAACTTTTAAAAACAATAAATAATATTAGGAGATATTTTGAGCAAATAGTAAATTTGATAAAAAGTTTACTTTTAAGAGTCAAAAACAGAAATTTAAAATTAGCTACCTGAAATCAGAATTAACATCCAACAAAAAATTTCTTTTAATCAATTTTTAACAGGAACTGAACTTGTAAGCTTTATCTAATTATAAAACAGTTTGAATTCATGCACAAAAAATAAAATGTTTTTAGACAGAGTTGGTAAAAAAAAAAAAATTAGTTATGAAAATTGTTAGAAAATTATAAGACTAAAAAAGGTATTTTACAAAAAGTTAAAGATCTTCAATTAAGCCCCCAAACAACAAGCCTTTGCTAATAACAACAAAGGTCAATTGATTCAAAATTTTAAGTACTTTTCTTTAGCTGTTAGATAGGTTCTGTGAATTAAGAGATTGCCCAGAATAACTGGAGTATGTATTTACAGTCTCTCAAAGGACTTCAAAATTTACGAAGAGATTTATATTATCAGTTTTGCAATCTTAAAAAACAACAACAAAACCTCCACCAAACTCATGACACAGGTAACAACTCTTCTAAAATGAACCAGTTTTATTAACATGGATGCAAATACTAAAAGAAAATAATTTTTTGCCCTGGCCGGTGTGGCTGTTGGTTGGGCGTTGTCCCACACATGGAAAGGTTGCTGGTTTGATTCCTAGTTAGGGCACGTGACTGGGTTGGAGGCTCAATCTCCAGTAGAGGGCAGCGTGCAGGAGGCAGCCAATTGATGTTTCGCTCACATCAATGTTTCTCCCTCTCTCCCTCTCCCTTCCTCTAAAAATCGATTTTTAAAAAATCTTAAAAAGAAAAAAAAAAAAAAAGAGTACTTTTTTGGTTCTCAATGCCATTACTGGAAAACTTCTAAGTATATTTGTAACTACTTGGGCACATAACAAATTTTCAACTACTAATTTCATGAAGTCTGAATATAAATCAAGTACTTCCAACAAAAACGTAACATCTGCATTGAGATATGCTAGAAGTCTAAAATAGTCTCTGGATTTTGAAGACTTAATATGAAAAGAGATTTCATTAATAACCTTTCCATGTTGACTATATATTAAAATGTTAATATTTTAGACAGATCAGTTTAAGTATATTGAGTTAATTTCACCTAATTTTTTTAATGTGGCTACTAGAAAATTTTAAGTTTCAAATGTAGTTCACATCATATTTCTAACAGATAGCACTGATTTAGTTAAATTAGTAAAAAATCAACACAGGATCTCATCATGAGGGTTATCAAGTATAAACTACCACCTCCTCACCTAGATCACTTTCCTCACTTGATGGTTCGTCTGTCTTTATGTCTTCCTCCACCTTCTTACTATCTGTTTTTTCTTCCTAGCAAAGGGAAGGCAAACAATACTATCAGTATTTAATAACATACTCAATATAGCTATACTAATTTGTACAATTTTATGTATAAACTATTCACATGCATTGGATTTCATGCATGTTTCCTTTCTTGTTTTGTTTTGGTAAACAAATTTTAGTTTTCTGTCTTCGTTTCTTTTAAAGTTTTATATAGGTCCAGCCCCTCATCCAAACCTTTTAGATGATAGTTTTAGGATTTAAAATATTTTGGATTTTAGAAAGCTAATACAGACGCATATATAATGTAACACCTTCAACAGGCACTGAAGTCCACAACTCTCCATAATTAAACACATTACTTCTGCAAAATAAGGTTTGAGCATTCATAATAAGTGGGATTAAAATTATAAATAGCCTCACCCTGGGCAGGAGGCTGTCAGTTGGAGCATTGTCCCGTACACCAAAAGGTTGTGGGGGTTCGATTCCCGGTTAGGGCACACACCTACATTTCGGGTTTGATCCCCATTCGGGGCCCGTATGGGAGGCAACAGATAGATGTCTCTCTCACATTGCTGTTTCTCCTTCTCCCTCTCCCTCTCCCTTCTTCTCTCTCTCAAATCAACAAAAACATATCTTAATAATAATAATAAAACTTAAGTAGCCTCATGTTTACTCAAATGTTTTAGTGCCAAACAAATCTACTAAGTTTAATATTTTCAAGAGTTCTTGAGTTTTAGAATTCCCAATAAGCAACTATGGAATTATAATTCACAAATGATGAAAATTCAAAGAATTTAAAGAGTACACCCATATATCCTTCCCATCCTATAAGTAACCAGTGTGGTCTGTATATCCATGCACTGAGTCTCTACCATGTACAAGGTACCAGATGCTTTAGCATAACTGAGAAACAAACCAGTCATAATTTCTAAATCAAAATGCTTTCACTACAAATTTTTTTAGCAGAGCAGAGGTATAGGTTAAATATACTTTTGTCTTAATACATGTTTATCACATGGCAAAACATCCTGTCTAGGGCTCAGAAACTACCAAACTCTAACAGACAATTCATCTAAGAAAATAACTACTTCTGGGGTGTTAGCTTTACTTCTTTTATTTCACTTGTTCAAAGATATAACTTCTAGTTCCATATTGAAATAGAAAAACTTTGTTTAGGATTCTAAATAAAACAGCAACACCATGAACCACACTAAAAAATACTGGGAATTACTGATTTGGATTATTTATTCATTTACTTTGCAAATATTAATAAAGTAGCTACAGTGCATAAAACACTGTGCTAGGTGCTAAAGATACAATGATGAAGACTACAAATGCACTCAATCACAAAGCTTACCACTTACAGGTCATGCATAAAAAGAATATTATTTATTCTAAAACACAGAGAACATTCAACCCCAAATTCTCAGTTTTAAATCAGTTTCCAGGGATGTGTTATCCAAACAGAAATTTTACAAAAATCTTATATCCAAGTGACCTTGGGGAAATCAGTAGTGGTCATTTAAGAGCAGCAGTTAAAAAACATCCCTAAGAGTCTGGCCAGTAGTTGAACGTCAACCCATGAACCAAAAAGGTCATGGTTCAACTCCTGGTCAGGGCAAATGCCCAGGTTTCAGGCTCCACCCCCCGGGGGG